CTCAGTTCATCACTGAAGATTATTCTACTCCAGTCAGTGACATTCCAGTGCAAATGACCCCAACACCGCTGCAAACGGGCTTGATGTTGTACAGAGATCAAAGGTAGTCGGCGCAAGAGGCGGGCACCGTGACCTCAACCCCTTTCTGTGAGCTGTCTAAATGGTGACAGCTCACAGAATTGAAGTCACTGAAGCACTAGTTGCAAGTACAATTGATGATAATGATGCATCTGGGGCTGTGAGTGCCGCTCTAGCAATTGCTCGGTCTTAACGTTCTGTCATTTCTCTGGGCCTATAGCTTCCTTCTCGACACTGTGTGCGGCCATGGTTCACTCATTCCTGCCAACATTGTCTAATAGTGGCATCACTCCTGCTCAAATGTCGAGCTATTCGCCAATAAGACCAACCGGCTTCTTTGAGCCTAACTACATGACCTCTCTCAAATTCTGACATCTGCGCATATCGTTCGTGCACCTGTATGAGAGGCATAGTTACAGTCTACCAGAGTACACAGAATGAAATTCGGGAAGAATTTATAACCTGGAATCGTAATTTCTCCTCTTAAATATCCTGCCAGTTGCGCAGATCAGATGTGCTGTAGCGATAACCATTCATTCATTGGCAGCCAAAATGTAAAATTTTGCATTTTCCATCGAAACCTGTGTGCATATCAATGTGTATCCAATTTGCTTTATATCTTCTTGGTGCGTCGTGGTGCTTTTTTTTTTTTTTTTTTTTGTCTAAGAGAGTATATAATTGTCATAATTTCAGGTACTTTCTGCCTTACTGTGTTTTGCTTGTGGATCATATTAGTAGTCCACAGCAAATGATTTTTGCCTGGCAGTCAGTCAGCCTACTGTTAGCATAGCAGTTTCTAATGTTATGTGGAAGGTCAGTCTTTTTAAACTTTAACAGTTTATTTTAAAATACAATCTCCAGAATAAAGCTTCAGATATTGCAATACTATTTCCAATTTTTCTTATGACTGCTGTAAACACTGCTGACTGTGAGAAGAGTTTTCTAAATAAAATTTAAAAAAATTAGAAAGTATTTTAGAATAATAAATATTTGTTTTGCATTGAAGAAATATTTAAGAATTATAAATGTTTGCAGATTTAAGAAATTTTTCTTCATTTCTGCCTACATTACAAAAACTGGAACAATCAATAGACTTTTACAATGCCATTGAGGGTTTGAGAATTAAAAAAACAAGCAAAATAATACTGTAATTTTAAAATATTGGAAAAAAATTTTTTTTCTTTAAAATAAACATAAATTTATTTCCCTATATGCCATTTTGACATTTTTTTTTTAGTTATTTGTTTGTATATCAAGATGGGTGGTAAATTCGGTGAGCAGCCATTAGCAGCAAAAGCTACGCCACTGAGCTCTACAGCAAAACAATGGGGGCAAAACATTCCTAAAATTTTGGCTGCCACACACTTAAATAAATATTCCTAGAACTTTAGCTGTCACATACTGTAAATTATGACCATAACTGGTCTAAAGGTGGCTGAAGGCTTGTCCCCTCTCTATGAAGTGAAATGGACCCAACAGTAAATGATACTGGTTTTTTTTTTTTTTTTTTAGTCAATATTGTTTGCACAATAGATAAGATGCAGAATAGGCATCCTGTGATGAGAGGGAAAAAAAATTGCCAAACAATCCTATCCAGAAGTAATTCCTAATGAAAATACTTTTAGTGGAAACCATAACAAGAAATCTACAATTTACTGGGGTAGAGTTATTTTAAATCGCTATAAATGGGATTTATTCTAGAATGTTTTTTTTTCCCCCATATGAAAAATAAATATGAGGAAATCGAAAGTAAGTACCATATATGCTAAAATATAAGATGCACCCCTTCTTGCAAAATGGCATGCATCATACATATCATCTAGATTAAATTATTTTTTTTTAACAAAGATAGCTGAAAACACACTAATGAGATCTTGAAATGCCTTTAAAAAATGGGATGTGTCTTATATGATAACAAATGTGATAATTGCACAAATTAGCTATTCAGAGTTAAAAACAGGCTGAAGAATACTGTTGCTATTTTAATTTGTAGGATTAATGTTAAAGCATTTGTAGTACTGATGCTTAAATTTGTAGAATTAATACTTGGTTATCGTGTAAATAAGATTTTATTTCATTTCACCCACTTTAACTCCATTAATTGATGTTTAATGGATGACCTGATTAAAAATGATTTGAATTACAATTTGAGTTTAAAAGTTCTTTATTTCAGAGGAAATTTCTAAAAATATTTTGGATATTATGTATGAGTACTATTTTAGCATAAAACATTATCAGTTATTTCTGAATCTTTTTTGTATGCAATTTGGTGCTATGATTTTAACATAGAAAATATATCTGATAGGAAGCTGGCACAAGGATAGTTCCAGGCAGATGGCACAAAATGGCACCTTTCTAAGGTACGTTTTTTGATAGCTTAATATATTTATCATACTAATTTTCATGCAGATTGTGGAACAGCTAGGCACTGTGGAACTGGCACATCCATCACCAGCTGAGATTCTCATTCGAAGATTTTCCATATGCTGGTGAAATTATGCTTGCTTAAAGATGACATATTGCAGTACAAAATGTTTACTTCAATTTAATTTCATTCTCATGGTTTCAGTGCATGGTTTTTTTCCTGGTTAAGTCTATTGACAATTTATTTTATATACTGGCAATTTCTTAGATCTTATGAAGGGAAGCAATGAAAATGTCAAGTGCAAGTCACATATTACAAATCAATGTGGTAAATGTAGTGTTGAACTCCGTGTAGAATAATTTGTATAGTGGCATAAAAATAATTGTAACAGCCAAATTTCCTAAATAAAGATCTAAATAATTTTTTAATAAAAAATAGGATTACTAACAATAATTGATTCTTTTGGGGAAAATATGTTTAAAAAATTTGGCATTCAACATATTAACAATTTAAAATTTTATATATTTTTCAGAGAAGCCAAACTTAGCAAATCAAGAAAGAATGGAGGCAAACTATTGAAGAATTTGACATTTGATTCTTCTTGTGGCAAATTATATATACATTACATCATGCGCTACAAGTGATCTTCCATGTGGGCAGGAACATGCTGATGAAAAGAAGATTTTTATAATTTGGTTCTATGATTTTAACAAAGATCATAGAAAATGTATCTGATAGGGAACTAGCATGAGGATACTTCCAGGAAGATGGCACAAAATGTTACAACTTTCTAAAGTACATTTTTGATAGCATAATATAATAATTATCATACAGACTGTAGAACAGCTAGGCACTTTGGCACAATAGCACATCTATCAAAACAGAGAAATATACTACACATCTCAAGAATATAATAATTTTTTTAATGATTGCAGAATCAACAAGAATCTGCAGTTACTGTGATCATCCTACTTAAACAATGCAACTTTTTTTTCAAGTGTCATTTTGAGATGATGATTTTCATAAGAATACATTGACAGTCAAAACTTTTGCAAGAACAGTATTATGGAATCAAAACATGTGATTGCATAACCCTATGTCGAGTTATTAATAATAATATCTGGTGTAATATCAACATGTGCCTAATGAAGGACTTTCAGTATTATGTGATACATCAGTATTCGATATCAGAAGAGGTAAATTTCAACATGTTCTCAACAATAATTTCTGTCTATTCATTTCTAGTCAACAAAATTCTGGGCTCAATTCCCTATGAATCATTTTGTTCAATTTTTCTGATGTTTGTATATACTAAGCATTATACTAATTTATAAGGTTGATATTATTATTTTACATAACTAGTTACTGTATGACTTAAATCTTTACTGTCACTTTTCTTTTCCATTTCCCTACCAGAAAACAAAGCAGGTTTAAATGTATTTAAAAGGTTAATATTATTATTTTACATAGCCAGTTACTTTATGACTTAGATCTTTACTGTCACTTTTCTTTTCCATTTCCCTACCAGAAAGCAAATCAGGTTTAAGTGTATTTAAGGGCAGGTTTTGAGATTGTAAGAAAGAATGTGTTTCTGCCTTTTGAGGCCATGTTGCTTTGTTCATAGCCAACTCTGATACAATTTAATTTTTTGGCTTTGCAATATAATTGTTGACATTTAAATGGTAATGCTGGTGAGAAGTTTGAGCCAACTTCAAGTTAAGACAATTGTGTAGATTTTGATTATTAAACTTAGTTTAAATCTTGAAACTGACTGTTACTTTAAGTTACATCACTCTAAGTGTTTGGCTGATTATTGTCCAGCACAAGACACATATTTATGTTCCATTTTGATTTCATAAAAAGGTTTGTTAAACCTTCTTAAAACTCTACATTTCCTTTTCAGACATATCTATAATTCGCTCTACATCTGCACAGTGTCTGGATTTAGTGAATGCTACCAAAGAACACCAAACTTGTTAAATTTTAAACTAACATAGTTAATCTTTGCTCTGGTCTTTTCCTCTCTGTATCTTAAAAATAATTAATAAATAAACCATTACCATTTTCATGAAAACTTATGGTATTGCAAATAACACACAAATTTAATTTCAACAGAAAAATGAAGTTTGCCAACATAACTTTTTTTTAAATTATTTTGCATTTGTGTGTGACTGAGGTTTTAACTATCTACTAATCTTCCTCTTTCATTTACAGTTTTCAGTTCATTAGAAATATGAAAAAAAAAAAAAAAAATAGCAAGCACATCAAGCAATAACATCCTATATTACATACACATTATAAAGACATCTATTAACAGATATAATTAGTACTTATAAAATAAAATAAAATTATTACCTAACTAAATTCAAAATAACACATCTACTTTAATGTTTTAATATTTGTCTCTCTCTTAAAGTACTTACTCTGATATATAAATATACACTACAATACAATATATATTCTAATACATACTACAAAATATGTATTTACACACTGCAAAGAATATCATCATATACAGTACTTGTATACAGCAGTCATATATATAAATAATATGTACCTTTTGTCCTGCAACAGTAACATATTTAAAGCCAGGTAAACAAAGAACTTTGCATATTTTAGGCCTCAAATCATCTAATTTCTTCTCAGCAAGGATGATCTCATGTTTACATCTTTCTAAATCAGGATACATAGAAGTGGAAAGGAAAATGTTGGCAAAGTCTCCTTCTCTGCCCAAAGTTTAAATTTTAAGACATAATTATCTTTAATTAAATGTACAAAACAATGAAAATTATATAAAATAATTAAAGCATAAATAATAGGTTGTGTGCTTTCCTGACTTATATTTATTCAAATTTAACTTCTTAATTATTCAAACACATATTAATTTATTAAAAACAACATTTAGTTAAAAACAAAATTTCCAGATTGCTTTTTTTTAGATAACTTCAATTTTAAACAATTTTTTATTTTTTTTTTATTTTCAAACATTTTTGAAATAATATCTTATTTATGTATTATTTTTAATGAGCCAGAATTTTGCAACTGATTTAAAAAGACTATGTAATTATGTCAAATACTGGTTTTATAAAAGCAAAATATCTATCTCAAAATAACTAAATATTTTACTAAGGGTGTCAAATTCTTAATTTCTATTCATCTTTGAAGATTTGTAATTATACGTTTAAGCAACAATTATTAGCATGATGCAACATTAAACTGTTTTCTAATATAAGCTATAAAACAAAAGAGGTGTGTCAGATCAAATAAACAACAAAATTATAACATTAGAAATGAACATAAAACTATATTCATGATACAACATCTGATTAGTAGATTCACATTTCTATCATTAATATATGTTATTATTCATGGAATAAAGATAAATTTACTAATTCTTTTTTATCCTTTGGAGAAATGAAAAGAAGAAAATAAAATTTATGAATAATAAATTAAAGTGAAAAATGTTGTAGAAGTTATATCCATAAAGTCTTCAATGGTAGATTATATAAAATGAAATATATTTAGTGTTGTTAAATTAGGACCTCATATAAAAGACAAAAAAAAAAAAAAAAAAAAAAAAAAAAAAAAAAAAAGGCAGTTGATTTTAGCAGTAAAAAATACAGTAGAAACATCTTGAAGCTTTTAAAAAATAGAAGAAATACATTGGCTTTATCCAAAAATGTAGGAAACAATGGTAAAGTAAAAGATTAGCAGTAGTGTGTTAGCTGACAACAAGACAATTTCATAATTCTTAGGTAGAAAGATTTAATAAAGTAAACAAATATTTTTTTAATTGCCAGATATGATAAATGGTGAATTTCCATTAAATGTACTTCATTGCTATACAATTACCTCTCCTTCTTCAGAAAAAGTTAAATCCTAAAGATTCCAGCCTAAAAATTTAAATTGATGAAATTATATATACAGTATAAAGCCTTAGATCCGGACGTCCAATATCTGGAATGATCTAAAATCTGGACCTCAAAGCCACAAACAACGCTTTTTTACATGCTTTACGCATGCGCATTTTATCCCCCTCTCCCCCTCCCACCTCACGCATAATAAAACATGTGGAGAGTTCCGATTCTTAATTTCACTTTGCACTAAATAAAATACCTCGTTATTGAAGAAAGAATCATTTTAGCATAAATTAGTATCATAAATAATTTGGCTCTGTGGCTGCCAAATTGCCTGCTTGGCCTACATCTGAAACCGAAACATATTACATAGACACATTGTTGAATTTACACCTACTAATATTTTATGTCCTTGACGCCAAGCTGGCGGATCATTATTTATTATATTTTTATATTATTATATTTTTATATGTTTATCAACACATGACAACTTGAGTAATGACTCATATAGCGATGCCTAAACAATTTGTTTTATGTTAGTAATTGAATAATGAAGAGAATGGTAACCTTTTATGTTGACATTATACTTGCCTATGATCACAGATTTAAATTAAATGTACTAAGAAATGTTAATGAGGGAAAATTTCTATCCATATGGTAAAAACATATTTTTGTTAATGATACTCATAGACCAAAAGGTTACATTTAGTGCTCTTTGAATTAAGAATAAATAATTTATTATTCACATAAACTCGTATGTGAATAATAAATTAATGAAGCAGTGTCAGGTCTCGTATGGCCGTAACGGGCCGCAGAATTTACGACCCGCAGAGATTGCATCAGGCAGTAAGATATCTAGCGCGGGACCTCCATAAGCCATATAAGTACATGTGGGAATTTATTTATTCAAGACTAAGATAAGATAGAAGCAAGATAAAACTTAGCGGAACAACTTGTCTTTAGTCGCCAATCTCATGATACATAGCCAAATATGTACAGTGAGCAACAGCTGAACTTTATGATGGTAGCCGCGAATTTTAAAGGTTTTCCAATATCACAAATCAAAGGTGAAATTTTCCTATTAACGAATTTTGTAAAGAAATGTGGAGAAGAGGTAATAAATGAAGTTTTTCATTGTGATGACAATGCTCCTCAATCATCAATCAATTAACAGATGGCAAAATTTCTAGTATGGTTCTAGATCCAGAAAATACCACTACCGATAGTGAAAAAAGTGACAGGTTACTGAAAACGAAAAAATTTCGATTGACAAATTAGTCGGAATTCTTGATATACCAATTACAGGACTTGGTATACCAATTACAGGACTACAGGTTGTTTCAATAGAGTTTCTACAGTTTTCTAAAACCGTAGCAACTATCTATCTAAAAAGGTTGATCTACTAATAATGTTGGTAATAATGAGAGCATAAGCCATAACTGGAAATTTATGTCTTGCCCCCAGTTAACACCAAAGTTTGAATAAAATGAGAAATTTAAGAAAATTATATTTATTTAATAAAAAGTGATTTTGTAATAATTTTGACAGACTTGAAAATAGCAATTTTGTTGGTGAATTGCTTAATTATTGATAAAAGAAATCTGATTAATATAAAATAACATAAATGGTCATAAAATTAGTTTGTAAAAATATAAATTAGCATGGTCACAAAATTATCTTTTTTGCTACCAAAGAAATAATACAGATTTTAAAAAGTAGTAAAAAGAAGTAACCGGCTTTGAAAAGCAAAAGTAAGATGAAGAAAGAAAAAAATTATACACAACATACTTGGCAGCCTTAGGGTTTATATTGTCATAATACTCTTTTATATCATCCAGTAATCTTGGAATATCCAATAAAATGTTTCTTAATTTTGGTTGTTTTACTTCAACAGTTATTTTATCAGTAATACCAAGAAATTCGGTTCTAATATTGTTCAGTGCTTGAATAAGCTTGAATAGATCATTGCAGCTACACTAAAAAATAAAATTATTCTCATTATTTTATGAATTAAATACTATTATACTATATTTTTAACTATAAACAATACAATGGATATAATCATATGAACTATTTTATTTCATTAAAGTACAAATTAATTATGTTTAGTAATAACATATAATAGTAAAATATTTAAGCCTCATTCCATTTCCTCATACTTTATAACACTAACATTAGCATTTCATTAGCTCAAAACTGAATTCAATTCAAATAATATTTGACATTTAGGATGAAGAAAATTTCATATATTTGGCATTCATAACAAAGAAAGTTTCATAGCTGAGCAAAAATGCTTTTGCTAGGCATTTGAATATCTTGTACACATTTTTCCTCTATACAAAGAAAAAGCTCATTAAGAAATGCAAGAATATTAAAAACATTAATATTCAAGATAATAAACATGAAGAAAAATCAATAATACGGAAGTCACATATGTAAGAGTAATGAAAAGCCAAAATATTGAAAATTATTTAAATGAATTTTAATATCACTGACAACTTGACTTTTTGAAAGGGGATCGTAACTAAATGATATCTCTCTGAAACACTTATGGACTAGTCATTCCAATTTTCAAAAATGGATCAAATAAAGTAGATTTTCTGAATGTGATAATTCTGGTTATAGTAAGTACAAAAAACTTAAATTTTTGTAAATTTCTCACAGAAAATACTTTAGCGAAAGATTGTTTTTAATAGTTGAATTAGCGAAACAAAACAAAAGCTCATTCTCATGTGGCTGGATGAAATCTGAAAGGGAAAACTGAGCATCATGTTTAAATATTATAAAAGGCAGTATATGTAAATTTTATGTAAATACACTTTCAAATGCAGATTTCTAAAACATAGCTTTCATTCCACAAAAATATGAAGATATAAATGTAGGATTATAATTTCCTTTTGAAGAAATATTAAATTTCAAATTTTTGATCAACCAAAATTCATGTTTCAGAACTTTCTCTATGCTACAGAATCTTTCCCTCCTTCCCTTAAAAAAAATAAATAAATAAATAAATAATAAATTAGCAAGCCAAAAATAGTTTATTATTTAAAACTTTGTCTACAAATACAAATAGCCTATTTTATTCTTTTTTATTTTATTGCATTAAAAAACATCACATGACAGAAAGTCTCATAGAGTGATAGATTACCTCATTCGATTCCTTTCTTAAATAAAAACTATAGATTATAAATTATTAAAAATATATTTAGTCCACCAATCTTTTTAAAATATCAAGTGTACAATAATTCAGTCAATGAATTTCTTACATGCTGTATATTAAATTAACTGACACATGCAGTTTAACTGCCTTGTCACATAACCTCTTTAGAAGACAATCTTATAGATTCGTACCAATTAAATAAAAACAATTAAAACTTTTCATGCTATGAATGGTGATTAACATGCTGCATACTTTGTATATTAGTGGTCTAGCTATGTTTCATTTCAGTTAATGAATAAGCATCTTTCAGTTACTGAATAGGCATCTTTTAGTAGAAGGCATTTGGTACCCTACAAAATGGGGTAATACTCATCGATTCCCAGCTAACATATAAGCCATATCATATTTGACCTCACAGTAAAGATAATTTTTAGAGATAATTCAGAAAATTAAAATAGCTGAAGTTTTGATAAAAAAGAGAGTTTAAAATAATCAGAATAAAAACCATTTATAATTTATCTTAAAGTTGAAAGTAGAAAGGCTTATCCTTACCCTATGATAAAATGCCCCACATAAAATCTGCTCTAAATCAGGTAATTTGCTAAGCACATTTTGAATTATTCTGAAAATAACAGATTCTGAATGCATAAGTTCAGTCACAATGTTCAACCTATCTTCTATACACCTAATATAAATAATAATATCATTAGACATTATAAATTTTATATAATTTTTCATTTATTAAATTTATTAATTTATTAAATATTATAATACAGAATGAATCACATGTATCACATGAATGAGATTTTCCTACCAATACATTTGTATGTATTAGATCAGTTTACATTACTTTCTTAAATGCAGTTGGGGTTATTTTAGTCAGAATATATTTTTTTTCCCTTTTCTTATAGACTCTACCCTTATACAATACTCATGATAGAAAAATATTTATGTCAAATATGATAGAAGAATTCCATAACAAATTAAAAAAATAAATACAATATTTCATTATTTTAGTCTTTCTTATTAAAGCACAGATGATAATTATGTTATTTTAGTTTTTTTTTTTTTTTTTTTTTTTTTTTTTTTTTTTTTTTTTTTGATAGATAATTTAAAGCAATAAAGTTTAATTCTTAACATAAACAAAATCACTTACTGCAAATTTTTTAGAGGCTTTGCAATCCATAATTTTAGCATTCTCTCCCCAAATTTTGTTAAGGTTTTGTTCAGAATCCATAAAAGGCTTCCATGTTCAGTATAGTTTGAATTACTTTTGAGAACTTCTAAACCTTTTAAAGTAGCTGCATTCAGAACCATACACTCATTTGTTGAAAATTCTTTCATATTTCTGTAAATAATATTTTACAAAAATTTAAATAACATACTAACAACAACACACACACTCTGAATGAAATTTATATAATTTATTTGATTGGTAGATATACACATCTCTCTGATTTTGCTGGCAGAGAGAAAACCTAAAATAATATTACAACTTGGAATGTAAATCGTAACTGCATATATTTGAATACAATTTCAAAAACCATTTCAAATATAAAACAGTTAATAAAAAATTTGAATTTTTTTTTTAATCAGAAAAGAAAGAGTTTAAAAAAGAAAGAATTAATTAATTATTAATATCATAACAGAAATGAAGAAAATTCAGTTTAAACTGCAAATGTAATTTGCCTGGCATTTTTTAACACTAATTCTTTTTTCAAAATAATAAAACAATATTTATTCCATAAAATTTATCCAAATATTTGATATCAAAATCATAAATTTTATGTTCATTACCAGATGAAGTAGATTCATTTTCATACTCATGAAAGTTTAACTGGTATAATTATTTTATAGTTTTATTCTATTTTTTCTAAAAATCTTGAAAAAAATTTTCATAAATTATAATTATCTTGCCATATAAGCACTTTTATTCTTCTGTATAAAAAATATTTTTCTTTTCCCTCCTCTCCACAATTTTAACATGTATCTAGAACTTATGCTTTAAATTATTCTCTTCTTGTGCATAAAAAAAAAAAAAAAAAAAAATTCTTTTAAAATCTATGGTTAAATAGCTTCACATACTTGAAAATTTTCATTACATTTTCCAACTTGAAACTAGATAGATAAATTACAAGTGCAGACAGACATGAAAGAACCAACGGAGGCAAGCTCAGAACATCTTGTATATTATCAAGGAATTCACCAGACGAGACTTGACATGCATCCTGCGATGTGAATAATTTTGAAATATTGTCCAAAGCAAATGAATGATCAAATACTTTATTTTCAATGTACTCCATTCTGGTACCTCTAAATAAAAAACAAATACAACATGAAGTTTTAATTTAGAAATATTTTAAATTTTTAACTGTAACAGTGAAATCAATTCTCAGATTACAAGCTATATAAAACTTTGTTAGAAAATGTAAATGTTAGCATTATTTTTAAAATTAAGATTAAAAATGTTTGATAAACTTCATTATAATGCAACTTCATATATCATGATGCTTGATATTATGCAAGTGTTGTTTAAAAGTTACATGTAAATAGCATAATAAAAAATTAAATAAATAATTTCCTTTTTCTCTTAAAATAATTGCCAAATTATTATCAAATAAATTTTACATCATGACATACAGCTCAATATGGATTAAAATGAAACCAACACTAAAAATTTTTGAAACATTTCTTTAAAAGTAATTTTTTCCCAAATATACATATATCATGTAATTTTCATTTATACACCTATACATAAATATGGCACTTTTTAAAACTTTTTCTTTATTATTTATACAATCTGCTGAGTGAAACATAACATCAAAAATTATTTTTGAAGTATATGATGTTATTCTGTACTACTTTATTACATGCAAATGTATCTTTTTGGAGGATGAAAAAGAAGCTTTCAATATTGATTAAATAAAGATTTAATTTATGCATCAACATCTGCGTTATAATATAACATTGTAGTTTTAGTTACCCTACTTAAAGATAAAAATACAACTATTAATCATTAATTATCAGAATTCCCACTTAAAAACAATAATGGTATTTACAACTATTCATTCAAAACCTAAACTATCCATGCAATTACATGCATTTAACATTAGAATCCATAAATGAATTAATTCAATTAACAAGTTTCACAATGCTATTGTTATATTCTGCCTCAAATGGCATAACAAAATATTATAAACTAATAACCCCCAACAAAGCTACAGTGAATCAAATAAAGCAAATGCGTGAGCCTGACTACGGTATGAATTGCATGAAAATGAGAGAATTAAAAAAAATAAAGGAATAAGTCTAACTTTAAAAGTTGTATAATGCATTTTTACACTTTGTGATAGGATTAAACAGAGATTAAATGATGATTAAACAAAATTAAATAATAAATAAATAATGTTAAAAAAGGGTACTTGCATATTAACGCAACCAGGCCAAAATTCGCATAAATCGGCAAATTTGGCGACCCTACTTACGGCAACCCTACGTGTTATGGGGCGTGTACTACCACAGCAATGGGTTTTCGGCGGAATTTGCCGAGAAAAGAAAGAGACTTTTTGGGTTACTGTACCTAACAGAAGCGCCGTTACCCTCATGGAAAAAATTTATGAAAATATCAAGGAAGGAAGCATCATTTATTCGGATTGCTCGAAAGGATGCAATACAAGTGAGTTCGAAAATGCTGGATTTCTGCATGGAACTGTTAATTACAAATATAACTTTGTGGATCCCAACACGGGCGTTCACACACAACATGTAGAGCGCATGTGGGGCTCAGCCAAATGGCGCAACAAAAAACAGAGAGGAACAGCCCGTCATCATCTTGACTCATACCTTATCGAATTTATATGGCGCCAAGTTCAAGCTGTTAATGGCGAAGACGGTTTTCAATCAGTGCTAAAAGCAATAGCCAAAAGATTTCCGCCGAAAAAAATAATTGTGCAACTTATTCAAATTCGAAACCGGAAGGGTTTTAATTGCTATTTTATATTTTAAAAAAACAAAAATAATATAAAAAAATGTATTAAAAATTATCTGTAATTAATAAATGTACATTTTCTTTCTATTCATACTTTTTTACTCAAACTTACAAATTGCGCCAACCTGGTTGCGATAATACGCAAGTACCTAAAAAAGATTAAATGAAGGTGGATCAATTATTTTACAACATAATTCAAACTTTATGCTACAACGAGCAGTAAAGCTAACAAAAATTTCACTTTGGACTTTTTTTTTAAACATTAATACAATTCCTAAAACATAGTAATAAACTGTGGCAAATTGAATGCTAAAGCACACTACATGCAAATAGGGGAAAATCTGACCCCTCCTTTATATAATGGGAGGACAGGAGGGAAGAAGTTTTTCCCTTTGACCTTGTAAGATCAGCTGAGAGCATGGAAGCCTCTCTCTTTGCCTTTTCTAATATAAGGTTAGAACTGAATGAATGCTGTTGAATACAATAATGTATCTTACAACAAAATATAATAAGCCATTATTGAATGAATTCTGCGAATTTGCCATTTTCATCTCCAGCTATATATAACAGAAGCAATAATTTTAAAATAATTTAGTAATCTTATTTCCCTTCCTTTTTTACTTAGTTTAAAAAACTAATTTCTAAACCTCATAATAGAGTTGCAAGCACATTCAAATACCCAAAAATGAAATTATGAATACATAGATAATTTTTTCTCTACTTTTAAATAAAACTTAATGTAATAATGATAATATATATATATACAAGATATTCACCTTTCATTGCAGAAACTTGTAAGAAAATCCTCTGTTTTCTTATTCAAATTAGTTGAAGGAAGCAACACCTCTGATGGATTTAGATGCGTCAGACAACTTTCAAGTTTATTTCTTAATAAATTATCTTCAAATGAAGAGTAAACTACATTCCCAGAATTTACACATGCAGCCTAGGAAAAAGTGGTAAAATGCTTGAGATATTCACAATTAACCAGAAGCTTAAATTTAAAAAAAAAAAAAAGAGGAGCAAAAGACAGCTAAATAAATAATAATAATAAAAAAAAAGAAATGAAGAAGAAGCTGTAAAGATTACATGCATCAAGCATGCTGATAATAAATTTTAAATTATGCAGAAATTAATTTTAAATTTGCTTTTACTTTCTAGAAAACTATTATTGCAAGGAGGACATAGCTACAGCATTCCTCTTTATCAACAAAAGTACAAATACTATGTGCTCAGTACCAGACCAGGGCTAAATCAACTAAATAGGTCAAATCACTATTATTAAATGAACAAGTTCATCTCGAAGACTGAATTCTGAATTTATTTCTTATTTATTTCATATTTTAGGTGATTTTAATCAATCTTTTATGTTGACAAACTTAATGATTTAAAATCCCCGCACTGCCACTCAGTAAAGCATAAGCTATTTATCCTTTAAATTTAATTAGAAAACTCAGCAATTTAAAAGAAATGTGTTGCCACTATCCGAAATAAGATATTTTTATCTTCCATGCTCTGGTTCCACTTTCAAATTTAACCCATCTGCTACTTATTAACAAACTAAGTGATCTAAAAGCAATAAATGCTATTCTTAAATATATTTTTTATTTGATTGCTTTAAATAAAAATATGTTTAAGTCATGGTGTATCTAATTAAAAACATTGATAAAACCATCACATACTGTTTCTTTTTTAAAATAACTATATTATGTAGCTGGCCTGTGCAGGTTAAAGCAAATAAAAAATGGCAATTTAGAGTAAGGTGGAAAGTGAAAAACTTGTAGCATACCCATCAAGCAAAACAGAAATCAGCTTATATTAAGCAATATTTTATTACACATTATGCAACAGTTATATGTAAACATACAAGAAAAAGCATTACAAGAAAAAGATATCAAATGATCTAAGATAACTGAACATGAAGATTCACACCATACAATTTGAGCACTGCCATTCAAAATTAATGTGTTCTAAGTATACTTGCATATTAGTCAAGAACTCTGTAATGAATATACTTTTTGACTCAAAGTCCTCTTTTTCTTGATAGTGTTTTCAGGTTAGTTTAGGTTATTTGAATATGGCAAAGCACATAAGGGCTATCTGCCTAAGGAAAAGGATTGATTTGTAGACAAGAAAAATTGGCCCATATTCTTATTACACAAGGGGGGAAATACAAAACTCAACCACATAGTCAGCCTGTTTGTCTGGATTTCAAACTACCAGTACCCAATGGTCATAACAATTCAGCCACTGGTGGGGGTCAGCCCTTTCAGGTAAAGCACTCTAATTGCATTCATATACCAGTGCCATTAAAGACTTCTGCAATTTAAGAATTAATCCGCAGAATTGATTCCCAGAAAATATAATAAATTGCCTATATTAATTTACAGATGTCATGGAAGCTTCTAGAGGCATTACTATCTTGAGAATCATAAATTATCATGATTTAAGTGATTTTGGATATGGTTTAATAGCTGAAGCTCATAATATTTTGAAGATAGAGGTGAGGTTTGGATTTCCAAATAGGATTCCCAAGGCTGCAGCTTCATTACTAGAATTTTGGCAAAACTTTGAGCTTTTGATAGCACTGGATCCACAGACTCTAGCTGCAAATCAGCAACATTAACTAGCAAGGATCATTCAGGCAAACAATACTAACTCAAGTAACAATGGAATTCAATGCTGTTGACTGAACGAATATTAAAGTGAGGACTATATGAAACATTACCTCCATGACCTGAGTGCACCTGATAAATGCACAACACCAAGCTATGCTTGCTGCCTGGAATTCAGAAATTCTGTAACCTAATACTGAATGGAAATAAGTAGACCTGTCTGACCAGTTTGATTTCAACTATTTCAAACACATGCAAAATTCTAATGTGAAGAAAACCCCATCATGTCATGGATCCTATAATAGATTTTACAGATTGTGGTGGCTCTAGGTGAAGAATACATACGCATTCTTTCTGATGAGTTACACCCTTGTATGTCCTAAGTTAATTTTGATACGTTTGGTCTCTTCTAACAAGATGATGCACCATTATACAAGTTCATAGATGCCAAATTATTAGAGGAGCACTCATCTAATTTGGGTTTCCCATCATGGTAATCTAAGTCACTGATCTCCAGCACGTTAAACACATCCGGAATGTCAGGTTATGCACTATGAAACACAAAATTCTGTATCTCTTAATACAACAGAACTGTGGACAGTTCTGCAGGAAATATGATACTCAATGCATGCAGAATACTTTCACAAACTCATGAAATCTAGTCTCATCATATTTCTGGAGGTCTATACTTCTATGAGAAATTTATGAACTATTAGACTAATTTTTTTTTTTTTTAATTTTTTTTATTGGGCACAGAGTATATATTTCCTTCTATAATATTAAGTTGTGTAAAGATACGTTTGAAAGTACAAATAATGATGGTTATTTTCAGATTTACAAAACAGCTTAAAAGTTATTTGTAAAATTACCATATTTACTTACGATAGGGTCTTATAATTGGGTATTTTAATATATGAAATTGCAGAATGATATGAAGGAATTTAATCATCATACTATATAGAACAATTACATTGTTTAAATACTAAATAAATTATACAGGTAACTACTATACATATAACCTGCATAACTACTGCTAAATTATAATAACCACATCTAGCTCAGTGATTTTAATTTAGACCTGCATCCACTATGCTGATTATTGGAATGTCTTTCAAATGCCTGAAAATAAAGAGTTGATAATGTATCATTATGTTTTCCTAAATTTTCTTTCTATACCTTAGTAAAATACTATATTTAATTAGATAACTTCCTTTCTTTCTAATCACAATAAATAAGTTCTAATCAAATTATTAGCTTATTAAATATATTTAAATATTCACTTACATTTATATTTTTTTAATTTAACAAAAAATGCTTCTTGTATTTCAGGAAGTCTTATTTTTTAGTAAATATGGTACACAAACATATCATTTTTGAATTTGGTACTTTCTGATTATCTGCACACTCAAGTCATTGGCAACATCAATTGGGAGAAAATATTTATTTAGTTAATTTTATGGCTAACAGGTACTGCTCTATAAAACAATAATAGAAACAAGTATTTTAAAGACATAAATTTTTTTGATTCAAACAAAGATCTGTAAGATCAATATTTACCTCCTAATAGCAGGTGGATATTTTTTTTTTTTTTTTTTCTTTCTTTCTTTCTCATGTCATAGAACCACCAACAACCATCCAGGTTAAAATCTCTAAACATATTATATCCCTATCACTATTGTATCATATAATACAATAATGATAATAAGTGCAGCCGAATGAAGAAAAAGCTTTTAACGCTGACTTCAAAGTAAGAATAATTACTGAATGGAAAACTGAACTTAAAACATAAGCTCTGGTGATTGCAAAAGTATTACTATATTTTTTATTATTAGTTTTAACACTTTTTATGTTTACCACAACTACTTTGTACTTCCTCATTTTTCATATGTGAACATAAAAATTATACCAATAATTTAATTAAAATCAATGAATGATTTCTTAAGATCTTTCAAACTATAAATCAAATTATCTTATTTTAGTATGGTCAAACCCAGTTACTTAAGTGAACAGATGGACCAACATAGTTTTTTTATCTGAATTAAATGACCTCTCCAAAATGTGATTTTTTAAAACCTATTAAGCTATTTCATAAAGCTGTGTATTACTTATCAAAATTAATTATTTGAAAAAGAGAAGGATAAAATATGTATTCAATGATCTTGCCCCTCTCCCAAAAAAACCCTCAAATATTTTCAACTTCTTTTCAATAACAATGTATATAATAGCATCTTCAAGTACGTATCATGCACATAAAATTCTTTAACTCAATTTAAAACAAAATGATAATTCTTTGTTTACCACCTCTTAAGTTGATACTGAAAACATTTACTTATAAATTAATGTTGGCACCTAGAATTACTATTAGAAAATTCTGCAGAATGCTCTATGGAGCTGATTGATTATAAATGAACAAAATTACATTATTTAATGCTGAATATAGGTAGCCTATAGTAATGTCTTCCTGCACAATATGTAATATAACTATAATTCATTTGGCAGAATACATTTATAACCTCTTGAAAACTAATTTAAGTTAATATTCATCCTCAGCTTTTCTTGATGAAGTGATTTTTATTACAAAAATGCAAATTTTGAAAAGTACTCGTATAATTTTTTATTTTCATACACATGCAATTAATATTAGCTACCCTTATTTAAATGTTACAATTCATTTAACTTTGGAATTGTGAATATGTATTAAGTCACTTAATCAGTCTGATGAGTGTTCTAATTAAATAACATACTATCACAAATAAATTAAGAAAATTCTGGGAATTTTAATACAGTGCAATTTTTCTTTAAAATGTGTCCCAAATAAATAGTTTTCTAATTAATATGTTGCTGTATTAATGGAAACCAAGCACATATGCTAAACCCCAATTATAAATTTGCATTATTTCAGCCTTACATAAAAGATTATAATATACCTTACCACAAAAGCAATATTCAAATTTTCTTTGTCATTAATATTTTCATAAATGCATACTAAGTAGCCAGATCCAAAATCAAAGTCATCTACTATTTCCATATCATCAAGACCATTGTCACAATCAGCACAAGTAAACTGTGTAGTTAATTAAGAAAAATTTCTCATTACTATTTGAAGCAATTTTTTAAAATCATTCTCAGCATATAAATGATTATGTGTATCTGATATTTTTCCTTTTTGTTTTATAATATATACAAGTACATTTTGAAATACGACTATATTTATAATGTTATGAAGTTGGTTAAAAATTCAAAATTTTTTCGTCTAAAAATATTCCTATTTTATAATAAAATCAGTGTCTATTGATTAAAATGTAGTATCAAAATTACCTCAATGTCTTTTAATTATTCAATTAGCCTATGAATTACACTGCTTAAATATTAAAACTGCTAAATTAAGAAAAAAAAAAAAAAAAAAAAAGAGATGCACAAATTTTAACAGAAAAGTATATATAGTCAAAAATCTTTAATCCGGACCTCAAAGCTACAAACTTTCTGTGCATGCGTCAACGCATAATGCGTTAATACATGTGCATAATACCTTTATGCATGCGCATAATACGTTTATGCATGCGCGCTTAATGTATAACAGACGGTATAAGCTAAGCTAAAATTATCTATTTCAGTTAATGTTGCAGATTGCGTAGTTCTTTAATCTTCTAATTGGATCTGGCTTATTATTTTTTGGCAGACTGTTAGAACAATTTTATAAAAGTAAGCTTGAACTGTCGATTATGTCAAAAAGAATTTCTGGTTCTGGAGCTACAAAAGGATCTACAAAACGAAAGCATGTTTCGATGTCCATCAAACAAAAAGTGGATAAAGGCATATCCTTTGATTCTCTAACAATTCTGAAATATGTTTATTAATTCCACTCTGCTCTGCGGGGGGGGGGGATGACGCAGCGCGCAATGAACTGGAAGTTGATCTGTCAGCACTATCCTTATCTTCAGGGCAGATGTTTTTATTTTATTCAGCTTATAATTCCTTATTAAATGTAGTATTTCATCTCGATGTACTCCGTCTTTGATATTATTTAAATCAAATTCCTTGTCATTATAAATATCACGAATACACACAAAATAGTTATCTGGTTGCAATGTACTAATTTCAACTATGCATAATGTATGCTTTATGCATGCGTACGTTGAAAGAAATGTTTAATAAAGTAAACAAATAAATATTAAGCCTTTTTTTTTTTTTTTTTTGGTAAATTTTGATACCCTTTAGATCATAATTGCTCTTTTTTTCATAAATTACAGTTTCATATTTTTAATTTTATAATTTCTGCATGCCATCTTACCAGATTTAAACTGATGATCTATAATCTGGAAAAACCTATAATCCGGAATAGAAGTCCCGACGAGACCGGATTAAAGACTTTTGACTGTACTTAAAAACATTTTGGTTCAGAAAGATTTGATACTACTCTTTAATTTACTTTCTTATTTAAAAAGTATTATAATATACCTATACATTTCAAAATGTTCCTATATCTATGCATTTAGAGCCAAAAAAATAGCGGGCAGCTTTCATTTTAAATATAAACATAATTAAAACTGGATTCTTTTCCTGCATGAAAATTATTTTCTCATTTGCATAAATAATGCATAACTGATGCTTTTTCCAAAGCTATTACACATTATTAAACATTTACAATGAAAAGTTTTATTAATTAATCTGCTACTAAAAACATTCTATATATTGTAATTTTAAAACTTTCAAATTTAATTTGTAGAAAGCATTATTTTTAATTTATATTTTATTTAACTAAAATATTCATATTAAAATTTGAGTTACTCAAAAATATATCCTATCCAATCTGTAGTGTCTACTATAAAATATCATTATATACAACATAAAAAATGCAAGACATAATTTAAAATTTGATTTCTTACCTATATGCAACCAATAATGAAATATTAATAGATGCTTAAAGATTTGAGATAGTATTCAAGCTAAGTTATTAATTTTTTACTATTAATAAAATTTTGAGATTATCTTCTATTTAATCTCTTTTTATTCTTGTAAAATGCAAAAATGAAAGGTTATTCCTATGTGAAGCTCTCTTATATTCAAAGCATGATATAATAGGTTATATTATATAGCAGGGGTGGTCAAGCTCCTTGATAGCCCGAGCCATTTTTCAAAATTTGAAATTTTTCGCGAGCCACAATTTAATATTTAAAAGGTATTAAAAAAATTTTTATAGAAAATTATATTTATTGAAAACATATAAATAAAAGTACAAAATATGTACATTGAATTTAAATATTAAAAATTAAACACATTTATTTTATTTCTCTTGACAATTCTTTAGAATTTGGTGAATAGTTGGTGACAGCACATCTTAGTACAGTCAAAAGTCATTAATTCGGACACCCATAATCCGGAATGATCTATAATCCGGACCTCAAAGCTACAAACTTATAAGACCTTTATGACTGCAAATATGCGTGTGTGTATGCGCATAATACGTTTACACATGCGTGTTTAATGTATAATGGACGGTATAAGCTAAGCTAAAATTATCTAATTCAGTTAATGTTGCAGATTGCGTTGTTCCTTAATCTTCGAATTGGATACGGCTTATTATTTTTTGCAGACTGTTAGAGCAATTTTATAAAAGTAAGCTTGGACTTTCGATTATGTCAAATAGAATTTCCGATATATATTTACTAATATGTAAAGGATCTACAATTCGAAGTCCATTAAACAAAAAGTGGAATTGCTGCAAAAAACGGATAAAGGCATATCCTTTGTTTTCCTAACCATTCCGAAATCTGTTTATCAATTTCATGCTGCTCTGCGGCGAGGGGGGGACGCCGCGGCACGCAATTAATTGGAAGTTGATCTGTCAGCACTATCCTTATCTTCAGGGCAGATGTTTTTATTTTATTTGGCTTATAATTGCCTACTAAATGTAGTATTTCATCTCGATGTACTCCATCTTTAATATGATTTAAATCAAATTCCTTGTCCTTATAATTATAATTCGCTTCCGATAGTGAAGAAAGTGACGCAGAGGTTATTGAAAACGAAAAAATTTCAATTGACAAATTAGTCGGTATTCTCGACACAGTAATTAAAGGACTTAAACAGCGGAACTTTGTAACTGAAGAAGAAATTATGTCTGTTTATAGAATTAGAGAGAAAGTATTATCACATAAAACGAAGCAACTTAAACAACTTACATTGAAAGAAATGTTTAATAAAGTAAACAAATAAATATTAAGCTTTTTTTTTTTGTAAACTTTTAGATCATAATTGTTCTTTATTTCATAAATTATGGTTTCATATTTTTAATTTTATAATTTCTGCATGCCATCTTACCAGATTTAAACTGATGATCTATAATCCGGAATCGCCAGAGTCCCGACGAGCCTGGATTAACGACTTTTGACTGTAATTCTTTGAGATGGTGGTTAGTTAATACCGATTGGCGTTTGGAACTCACAAATTTTAAAATGGAATAAAATGATTCACATAAGTACGTCATTCCTAATATTGAAATAATTCCGCCAGCAGCCTTTTTTAATTCAGGATACTTAGACTCTGGTACAAATTTCCAAAATTCAGTAATCGGCATCGACTTATATCTTAATTGTAGAGCTTGATCTTCTTGTATTTCTATTAATTCTACTTTTCCAAATGCTTTTTGGGTCATAATTATATTGGAAATGGAAAAATCACCTTGAATTATGTTAATTTCAAATGGATTCAAAAATCACCTTGAAGTATGTTAATTTCAAATGGATTCAGGAAAAAATCAAGAGACGATTTAAAATATTTCAAGTCTTGAAATCTATTTTGGAATACCGTCAATATTCCTTCTAGCTTTTTTACATACTGGTAGAGTTTTCCTTGTTTAATATTGAAACAAATTTTTTTAATTCGAGGAAAATGACAAAATGTTTTATTTTTAATGTCCTTTTGAAACAGTTGTAATTTAGTTTGAAAACTAAATATATATACTGTGAAAGGTCCGATATTATTTTATCCTTCCCCTGCAATTGTAAATTCAGTGTTTGCAAATGTTCCATGACATCAGTCAAAAACATTAAGTCTTGTAACCACTCGTCATCATCTAATTCTGAATAGGTTATTTCCTTTTCTTTTAGAAATGCAACTATCAGATCAAACAAATCTACAAATCGATTTAATACATTATAGCTAGATAACCATCTAACCATGCAAAAGAAATTAATGTCATTTAAAAGTTCTTCGTCCTTTAATTCTTCAAGGAAATTTTTTTAAATGTCGATGATTTTTTGCATTGGTGTGAATGTAATTTATAATGTGTAACATTGTTTTCATAACATCAGAATATTTTAGATATTTTGTAATGAGATGTTTTCGATGAATTACAGTGAATTGGTATAAATTGTGGAATTTGAGAATCATCTCTTATAAGCCCAATAATACCGATTTTTTTACCTAACATTGCAGGAGCTCCATCAGTTGCCATGCTGACAAGTTTATTAAGAGGCACATCAAAAATTTTCATTATAGAATCTAATGCATTTTTAATATCGACACCACGGGTTGACTCTTGAAGTGCGACTAAATCTAATAATTCTTCTTTAACAACGAAGTCAGGTGAAACAAAACATATGAAAACTGCCAATTGCAGAAGATCTGTGATATGTGCAGATTTGTCAAGGGCTAAGCTGAATGCAATACAGTTCGTCAAATAATTTTTAAAATTATATTTCAAGAGATGTATTAATTGCAGTTATGCGTCATTCGGTTGTGTGTCTCGAGATGGGAATTTGCAAAACAACTTTGTGCAATGCTTCATTATTTGGATCTAAAACTAAGTACATCTTCCAAGTTTTTATTAATAAACTCTCCCTCTCCATATGGGTGTTTTGCACAAGCAATATTAGAGGCAATAACAAAACTGGCTCCAGCCACATTATTAGCTTGACTGCTGAAGGTCATCAAAATTGACTGTTGTGTATTTAAATTTGATTTTAAAGAAGCAAGTTTATCTGATCTTAATTTGGAATTTGGTGGATACTGATTAGAAAACTGAAGATGATTGGTTTCGTAATGTTGGTGTAAATTGCTAGCTTTATAATTTTTGACTGTAGAATTACAAATAACACATAATGCTTTTCTGTTATTGTGGAATGTTAAAATGGAATAAAATGATTCACATAAGTACGTCATTCCTAATATTGAAATAATTCCGCCAGCAGCCTTTTTTAATTCAGGATACTTAGACTCTGGTAAATTCTTCTCTCTCATTATTAAAACTTCTATTTTCTTTTTTTATTTTCATTCTCTGTCATAATATTTTAAAAGAACTGGAAATAAATAAATAAATTTAGAAAATACAAGTTTTGTGTTATTAAAATAATAACAACAAGTGTTGCATACTATGAAGCAAATTATAGTTAACTTACCAAAAATCCCAGATTAAAAATCATATCCGTAGCCAGTGATACAAATTATTTCCTCCAGAGCACCATGTGAACTGTCCGTTGCAATGAAAGTTCACAAATTCAAAATCGGTCTGGAGTCGCATTCAGACATTGGACTTTGGACACCCCAAACACCTGAATATTTCCTACCTAGTGCTTTCTCCCCATCACGTTACTACATTGCTCATTGCTTTCAGCTGTTGTTAAATGACAAGTCAATAATTCTTTAGAAGCAACTAAAAATAGTTCTGTTATTTTAATGCCCCTCCTCTTTCCTTTGTTTACTGTCAATGTTTAGCTTTTGATGCCCAAAGTTGCAATCCCGTCCCAAGGGGGAAATTCACACAGAGTGAAATTATATTCAAGAGATGTATCATGTGAAAGCATCCAATAAAGAAGTTCTCACTTTACTTAAGTAGGTTATTGTTAGCGCTGTAGAATATTCAATTTGTCATAGGGGGAAGGAAAAGCATTCCAGGAGAAATTCATAGACACAGGTGTTTTCCATTTTTGGGGAAAAGAGATCTCTCAATGCGAAAGAGTTAACTTGGACAATGAAATTTGTTACAATGTTGCACTTAATCTTTCATATTTGTTGTCAGTAATTTAAAAGACATTTTGAAACACATACAGAATGATAATATTTTTTTTAATATAATAACACAAAAATGAAAAGGGAACTCGGGTACATTTATCAAAAGCCACAAATAATCCTTCAAAAAGCCGCAGGTTGGCCACCCCTGTTATATAGTACATTAAGTTTTTGTTAGACATGTTAGAAAACAATATTGCTTTACACGCATTTCTTTCTCTATCATTCTTAATAGTAAGGTAAAATCCGGTATATACTATTTAACAAGTTTTAATACATTTCAACGGATTTAAAAAATATATACATATAATGAAAATCATATTTCCTCTTTCACAGTCACATTACATATATCCATATAATGGGCAAATCATAAATTTAGCACACATTTATAGTACACTCGTATACACTTTACTACAAAAATGAAAATAATTCAATCATTCTTGTTTAAAAGTTTTGCCTACTTTGCGATTTTAAAGAGAAAATAAATATCCTATTTTATCTCATTTATTAACAGTTCATGAAAATAAAGATTTTAAACACAAAACCATATTTTATAACCCATAATTTTCCTTCATGCATACATGATTAAACATTAAAAATATCTCCAGGCTTTAAAATTAAAAATATACTGGAAATATATAAAATAACAGAAACACCTACTGAATAACTAACTATAAACGAAATACACATATAAATTTTCAGAGTGGTACTATTTTATATGACATAAAATATAAAAATAGGATACGAAATTATATTATGGCTGATTCACATTTCACTGAAAAATAAGTAACTTTGCATAATGTTATTGAAAAGTATCAGTCTCAAAGATTTTTCAAAATGACATGTGATTGACACAGGTATCAACATGACTCAACTGGCTTGAAAGCATTTTTCTCTTTGGATCACTTTTCATAAATATCACAGTCACTAATATATAAATGCCACTCATTGGCTAGTTTTCCCCCAGAATCTTCTGCTAAAACCAGGATAAATTTTGTTAAACAATTATTTTGTCCATATAAATGTCATATTTGTAAAATTACTAATACAGATATCTCTAGGTCAATGTTTCTATTATTTTGTACGCATACTTCAGCAGACAAACTAAAGCTATTATATCATCGCCAATAAGAGTTTTAAATTCTGCAATTAAAACACAAAGAGCATTAAAAAAACGTCCTCATTATTTTAAAAAGGCAAACTTCCCCAAATTGTAACAGATAAAGGTAAAATAATGTTTCACAATGTATATGGGAGGCTAGAAGAAACAAAATGCCAGTGACTATCATTTCATTTCTGGTCAGGCAGAAGGAAGCCCATTCATATCTGTCAGTAACTTTGGCTGAAGTGTAAATGTATGGTCAATTAGTTATTAAACATAAGAATTCCTGTGAGTTAATGAAATTTTCATACATATCAGAAATATTATGAAAGTTGCATACATATCAGAAAAGAGATTATGATATATTATTTACTATGCATAGTGAGAGATGAAATATATACTATGATATAACAATATTTATTTATTTACATTACTGAACAGGATAGATGATAGTATGTTCCTACAGATATTGTAGAGATATTAGGATTTTTTGGAAGCCAGAGAGATGAAAAATTAGTAACCGCCTTCGCCGGGAACCGAACCATGGACCTCTGGAATACCGGCCCAGCGTGCTACCGTTACACCACAAAGGCACGCTCGGGAAGTGGGAGAAATACCTTAATAACTCCTCTTTTTAAAGGGCGACTAGGGATTTAGGGGACCTAGTCGCCAAATCCTGGGTGCGGAGAATCATCATCCACAACCCTTTTAGTTCGGGCACCACTGTAGAGATATTAGGATTTTTTGGAAGCCAGAGAGATGAAAAATTAGCAACCGCCTTCACCGGGAATCGAACCTCGGACCTCTGGAATACCGGCCCATCATGCTACCGTTACACCACAAAAGCACACTAGGGAAGTGGGAGAAATACCTTATAATATCACGTGCTGTGTCCTACATGATGCACCTCATAATAAGTGCTCAGACTGATTACCATTCATGTCAATAAAAGTAACCATACATCTTTAGATTAATCTAAAACTTTCAACGATGTCGGATGCTGTTAAAATGTTCTTGAAGGCTGATTGAATAAGTGCAATGAGATTCTCTGTGGTGTTCAATAACTCTTTGTATACAAATGATTTCATATTTGCAAACAGAATATTTTCATATTCTGTTTATGATTTCCTCATAAACAGAAAGCAATAAATCTGGTAATCAGGAAGCTGACAGGACATTACTAAAAATATGTTATGTCTCCTTCCATTTGTCCAGCTCAGTGAACTGTCAGATGACTCTGAAATCGCATATTCCCTGAATATTCATTCAGTTGTAATAAAACCATTCAAATGGCATTTGTTTCTTTTAGCCTCACAAATATCCTATGTAACATTATAATAATTTTTCAAAGACCTATTGTAAATGCTACAAGTTTAACTTTAAAGGATATCATCGCCAATAAGAGTTGATTTTGTATATAAAGCTTCTAGCTTCCTGGAAAATAATTCATTCCGATTTTCTCCTGCAGCCTTAATAGCAGCAGATTCAATCTGTTTTATAACTCCAACTTTGTAACCTTTTAATACCAAACGACGAACATGGAAATGCAAACGTGTCACTGGAATTATTGCTGACATGAAATTATGGCTTTTGTAACAACCGATGTTTAACACTTTAGATGCAATCTGGAAGGAGGGAAAAAAGGATAAATATACATATATATAGATCACTTTGTATTCATTGCACAAAGTATCATTGTAGGAAAAGTTTATTTTATAATTTACTTACAATACATCATAAAAAAATATATGAATATTTCTTTCCAGTTTTTGGTTATGTAAGTCAGAAATATTACTCAGATTAATATTAAATGAAGCCTATAATTTTCTCTATAAAAAGTTCTTTAAAAATCAGGAAGTAATAGCGAAGAGGTCAACAATATTAATTGCAGTGAAAAAAGATTACAGCACATCTGGACAAGTCAATTGGGAATTTTTATATAAACTCAATTGCCTGAGCTATTTTAAAAAATATGAAATAAGAAAAATAAAAACTAACTGATAACCATTGAAAAATCACATAAAGAGATTGAAAACTATTAAAATGACTTTCCAATTGGATTGCAAAGCAGTTAACATGAAAGCTACAAGAATATTAGCTCCCAGAAAGTAATGTTATAATTTGAAGGATATAAGACCATTCTAAACAATTTTAAGCTTCTAAACATTATGGCAAAAATCTGGTAAAGGCTTTTACTTCTATTTCCATAATATCATCAATCAAAAAACATAGGCATAGATAAGAACCATACCCTGCATATTACAATTTCATCTCTCTATGTTTAGTTTTGGTGTGTGTTTGGATTTTAGTTTTCTGTTTGTACAATAGAAATTTGAAAAATTCTCCAAGTTATAAAAATTTGTGTATGCAAATGGTGTGGTTTTTGTCATTATCTCACGAATTTTTTTTTAAATTTAATTTAATTTTTATTGTATTAAGTTGGATAAACAATTCATGCACTCATCTTTCATATATTTCTCTGTTGCTTGAAGCAAATTAAATCATTACTAAGATGTTTGCTTACATCTAGAATATTCTGTACTGACCACCATTAACTGACACTGTATTTGGCTTTCACTGATAAACAGCTGCAAATAACAAGTTAACCTTGGTGAATTGCACATGTCTATAAATGACAATGTCACATACAGATAAGATTTAATTTTGAATTACATATACATTTATTATCATTAAGACTTAGAAGATCAGAATACTTTTTTATTCACACAAACTAGAGAATTGCAGCAATTCAGGCTACCCTTGCAATTTTGACCTAGAAAACATTCAACTAAGCTCCTGAGAAACCAGACACTGAAAGTATTCATGTGAAAAAAAGCCCATTGGTAATGTGACAGAAAGTAATATAGAGGAAAATTCCTCTTCTAGGCCAAATACAGCAGCAGATTCTAATGTTGCCACTAAATGGAAGGGCTTCTTTTAGATTCTTCTTCAGAAAGGGTTCAGTTTACGTTGATGTAATGGATCATGAATGCACAGACAGGCTTTCAAAAGGAGAAGCATATATTTCTATAAAAAAACAGTACACGAGGTAGGCTTCGAAAATTCCCAGAGTAAGTCTATAACGTTAAAAATATTCTGAATTAAATTTCAGAAACACATCCTCCTTTGAACATGTGCAACAACACACATTTGCCAGCGCATGTAAAGTTCATTGAAGCATGTCTGGAATTCATTTTTGGCCACATCTTTTAAATCAGCCTGCTATGCACATTTAACTTCATTTGAAGATTGAAATCAACAACCCTGCAAGCATCTTGCCAGTTCAGGAAATAGGAAGAAATTGCAGGGTGCGAGATCAGGTGAGTGAGGAGGATGAGGCAAAAGAACAATGCAACTCAAAAGCTTGCATTCTCGATAACGTTTCACTTCTGTACATATGCTTCAATGTTTCGAAAGTCTCCGCAACACTCTTTCCCAAGCAAACATAAAATTGTATCTTGATTCTCTGCTCAACTGATGCCATTTCTTTCTATCGTCGGTTACTAAGTGCGCTTGCCTACAAAAAAACGCTGTTGCCGCGAGCTTTCAACCAGGTGATTTGGGACAACCACTTTTAGAAAAGGAGGAGAACATAGAAACACTAAACTGTTCTTGTAGTCACACTACTGCAAAAAATTTTTACGTTACAGACTGTGTCCAGGAACTTTTGAATCCTATGATGTACATACACACAGTCTCATCACACATTTTACATCTCAAATATGGCATGTAGTGACTATTGGAATTCCATTTTGCAACTGGGAGTTTTAATGTTATCTACATGTTTAGTAATGACTCAAAATTTTGGTTTTACTATATAACATTATGTTATACTAGCACACCATTTATCAACTACACAATGTGATAAGCATAGTTGTGGCAATAGGTAAAAAATTTTACACAAATTAACAGATTTAAAAAAAAAAATTATGATTTAAATTATAATAAATCCAACTGATAATTTTTATGAACATTTGCATTATCATTGTAATAAGAATGTTTCTAATACCATAAATTATGCACTTCAAATAGCATCTCCTTCTCCAGATGCTTAGCTTATCAACTTAAGCTTAGCAACACAAATTTTTGAGGAGAAAAATAGATACATGTGTTGGGGAAAGAACATTAAAGACTAAATTCTTTTTCCACTTGCTCATCTTATGAAAATTAATAAAAGAAAAATACATTTTAAGAAATTTATACAAACTATCAATAATTAATATAAATTTTACACATAAGACGGGTGTTCACAAGAGCAATTGTAATATACATAATTACAACCAGAAAATATTAGAACATCAAGAACCTTAATGCAAAATATAATAACTATCAATATTTTTTTACAATATGATGAATGCATATAGGTTCCAGATTTGTACAAACTTAAAATCTTTCCAACACACTTGAAAACACTAACAACAACTTGAACAACTACATTTGGAAATTCAATTACCTTTGCATCTTCACCAAAAAATCTGTACTTATAACCACACTCTATGAGAAGAACTGCATCTGGATAGTCTTTCTTAAATCCTAAATATTGTTTCTCTAAAGGTGTATACCTAAAACAACAGAGAAATATAAGTAGATTTCTATACAACTGCTAATTTTCTGAAAAAAAGATACATAAGTAAAAATAAATTAAACAAAAATTGCTTCGGAAACAATTTTAAATATCTAATATATTACATATTTTACTTTGTTATTATTTTAATATTTTTCATATCAAGTTTATTGAAAAATAATATTAAAGAAATATGATTGTTTTCAAGAGCACAGTACAACTATGTATGCCCTTATGTTCATTATTAACTGTGATAAAAGCAATTTTTTAACATTGAAGGAATAAATGTTTCACAAGCTACAAAAGACAACCATAAAGTAAATATAAATCTACTGCAAAAGCATATAGTAAAATTATTTATTTAGTATGTACAGTAAAATTTATTTATTTAATGATGTTTAATTTATACTGTATATAATTTAACAATTAATCATAATTTATATACATTACATGAATGCTATATTTCACATAAATCGGATTATTATCCATTTTTGAAAAGCATCAACTACAGATACCGATAATTATAACATATAAGTATTGAAAGTTTCAAGAAGTAAACTACTAAAATAAAATTCATAAGTCAGAATATTATAACAGACTACCAAATTTTATCATCTTTAACAGGATTTTACTATTATTTTTATACTTTGAATGCCACAGCATGAATTACATTCACTTCAATAAAAGTATCAGTAATTCAAATCTCTATTAGCAAAGTATGCTGAAATGCAAAAATTTTTTTTGTTATACATTACACATATATCGATAATCTTACACATACAAATAATCTAATACAAGATTATTTTTGCTGACAACTTAAAATGATACATATATATGAAAACCATGTAAAATACTAAACATAAAGCACTGTTTCATAGCAGTAATTATTAATTATTATTTTATATAAATTTATTTTCATTCAATGCACAACTGAATACAAAATTTAACAAAAATCTATCTCTCCGACTCTGCATAAATATAATATTCATTCAGTTTTTTCAAAAGTTAACTTTTTTTTTTTTTTAAACACAGTTGATTCCAATTTTACACATAATAATATTAAAAATTTACTTAATATCAATTTTGGTCGATTTAACTTCCAACTCATTTTCGTTAATTATTTCATCACCATCAAGTTCTATAATATTATCAGCATCTAATTCTTCTGTAGAAAAATTACTGAAACATGAGATTTGATTTTCTATGTCAGCATTTGGCAATGATCTTTCAGTTACTTCTTTCATTTTAAATAAAGATTGCTTGAATGAAAAGTTTTGCAACTGTGAAATAGTGGATTCACAGAGTGTATGTTCACAGACAGTTTCATCTTTAGATACTGCTTGTTGTTTCTGAACCTTCTTTGAAGGCGATAAATTATCCTGAAAGAAAAGAATTCATAGTTTTAAACACTATGCAGTTCTCATAATTGTAAACATTGTATCAAAAAAAAAAAAAAAAAAAAACTCTAAATTAGAAACAATGAAAGCTCTTCCTCCACCAGCTGTACGCTTCTGAAACATATCTGGAAGGCTAGTATATATAAAGATTTTGATTCTAACAACAGGAACGTAATTATGCTTATATTAAAATTAAAATTCGGTTGAATGAAAGTAACGTAAAACTCACGAGAGTAACACCCGGTCTCTTTCTCTCATTTGGTTTTTTAATACCTGATGAAGAAAAGTACTTCGAAATTTCGGTCTGATTATCTTCAACAGATATATTTTGAGTTCTGATTTTTTTATTTGATTGTCTGGGCATGCTGACTGACAAGACACATAAAATCATACTAAATTCATCTAATATGCCACATTATTTTGAAATTCCCTTATCATTTAATTGGAACAAAATTAGAGAAATTTGAGACAGAGTATCCGCGCGTTCATTTAAAAATTAAAAACACAAACATGCAACTGCAATATATACACACAATTCGATTCAACAATCATGCTACATGAAGAATAAGATTTTAACTTCCCCACCAAATATTGTTGCCAGACCCTGTCTAAGCTCCTATGTAATGTTTAGGAAGTCGAAAATTTCTAAAATTTTCGTCTTCCAAAGTGAAAGAGAATTTATCTAATATGTGGCTATAGAAGTTTGAAGGAAAATTTCTAAAATTTTCGTCTTTCAAAGCGAAAGAAAGTTTATCTAATATATGGCTGTAGAAGTTTGAACCTTTCATATATCTACAGTGCTATGCTAAATGCCCATTTCTGTAAACCTCAGTAATAGCAGAGCGTCGGCATCGCTGCAATTGTCCTCAAACATTACTTAGAACAGCAGAACCTTAGCTTTAAGTTATTTAGCATTATCAAGTTCTTCTTTCACCAAACACCAGTTTCTTAACCCCATCACTGGATCAAGGAATGATGCACAAAGAATTTAAATATTCAATAAAAAATATAAATAAATAAATTAAAAAAAAAAAAAACACTGGATCAATAAAAAAGTTTCAAATCCTACTATGTGAGCCATGTTTAGATCTCTGCAAATGAAGCATTATATGAAGGTAGCCACGACACACTAACGGCTGGATGAAGGTAGGCAAAATACACAAACGGTATTTTGGAAACAATTCGACATAAGTCGCTGAAAAGAAATTATAAAACTTGCATGGGAACAAGTGAATTCATCAACAAGGAGTATTTGCTGGCATCAGCGCTGAACAGAAGTTGTCAACAGTTTTAAAGGACTTCCATCGATTGAAGAAGAACGCCAAAAAAATCGTACAAATAGAAAAAGCAATAGGCGACGAAAGAGGAATCAAACGTGAAATGATAAATGAAGAATTGAATGATCATTTAACACTAGATGACAGTAAAAGCAGTGATAGTGAAGAAGGTAAAGAGCTTTTCACGTACAAAAAATTAAACTAATTGTTAAAAGGAATTTTCTGCTTTTGTAATGGAGATTGAGCCAAATGAAGAAAGAAAGACATTTTATGAGGGGTATTGAAAAACGTTGCACCCTTACTGAGAACCGGTTAACGAGTTGCGCAGCTTTTGTCCCAAATAAAAGCCACCTGCTATTCAAAAATAAATAAATAAATAAACAATTGTATCAGTGGACTATTTAAGCAATAATAAAAAATCCTTCCAATTAACATTTGTTCTCTTCTTCTCTTTTAATTACAATAATATTTAAATTTGCATAAATTATGCATACTTTCTTAATCTGAACTATGCCTGACCTTTTTTTTTTTTTTTTCCATCGAAACAAGTTTGTGGAAGGCATTGTACCCTCGTTCGGCAGGATTTCTGTGAAGTAATCACTTTTTGTGTTAGACGTTATTTGTGCATCTGATGTTATATCTCAAGTATTGTAATTTCCAATTATGAGATAAAAGGTGTCGTGAATGACGCACGCTCTGCTCTTGGGGAACGGATTGAGCCTCCAGACCAACGAGAATCGAAAAAGAAAGAGTTTTTTTTAGAACTGCCAATGATAAGTATATGCTTTTAGAACAGTGACGCAGTAGAATAATGCCGCTTTTAGATATGTAGAACAATGATGCTAAGTAGTTAGAAGTGTTTTTGATGTTGTAATGATTTAGATATTGTTCCTCTTTTGTGTGAAATGTCAAATAAAGTGATTCATACAAAATAGTGCGAATTTAGATGAGTTTGAAACCAAATCGGAGTCTACAAAAGCGGCGGACCAGAATCGAAGAACGCGGGTCATAAAGGTAAGCAACCTTTCTTCATGTTCTTATCTAGAATTTTGAATGATCTGTTTTTTTCTCAATTGAAATGATATAAATATTTGGCGCCCGAACAGGGACCGCCGAAGTGGATTATATTGAAGTGAAAGATTTAGGAATGTTTGAAAAATAGCTCCTTTTGATTTGAGAAGTTTATTTATGATTTGAGAGTACTGATTTGTAATTTGGATATTTCCTGTCTGAAATATTTAAACATGTTTACTAAAATAGAAGAATTAAAGAGAATACGAACTGTAGTTAGGAGTATGACAACAAAGTTGATAAATAACTGTAAAGAATACCTCCAAGAAACAGAATACGATTTGTGTATTCATAATGAAAATATTGATTTATTAGGTTCAAAATATAACAGCCTAAAAGAATTAGATAAACATATACAAGAATTAATTGAGACTACTGAATATGAATCGGAATTTGAAACTTGTGAAGTTCATTCCGAGAAAATAATTTCCATGAAATCAAAACTAAGAGAAAAGGAAACCTGAAATTCCTGTTTCGAATACAATTGGTAATATTGTGAATGATATTTCAAATATTTCTGTATCTCATTCAAAAATTAAATTGCCCAAATTATCGATCAATAAATTTAATGGCGATCCTGTTAATTGGTTATCATTTTGGAACCAGTTTGATAATGCGATACATCAGAATAGTGATTTAACAGATACAGACAAATTTAATTATTTGATTTCATTTTTATCAGGTGCTGCTTGTAATGCTGTTAGTGGTTTTGCATTATCAAGTGAAAATTATTTTGCCGCATTCGAGTTACTTAAAACACGCTTTGGTCGAACAGATTTAATTATAAATGTACATATGGGAAAACTGTTAAATTTAGAACCTCTTAGGAATACTAATAACATATTTGCATTACGTAAGTTGTATGGTGATATCGAAATACAGATAAGAAGTTTGAAATCACTTAATGTAACTTCTGGCACATATGGCACTTTGTTGACACCAGTTTTATTAAAATTAATTCCGAATGAACCGAATCTTGATTTCCAAAGAAAAAGGAAATCGAAAGATAATTTCGATGTAAACGAATTATTAGAGTTCTTAAAAACGGAAATCGAATGCCGCGAATTATGCTACAAATTCAAGATAAAATAAACAATCACAATTCAAACGACTTTCTAAAAGAAAAAAGAATAAATAAAATTTCTATTCCAACGGCTGCTGTCTTAAAGGTTTCAATTAACAGCTGCCTATTTTGCGAGGATTCAGAAAAAGAAAAACATACTTCCGATGCTTGCCCGAAGTCTGTAGCAGACAGAAAGGCGTCACTTCAAAAACTCGGAATATGTTATTTATGCCTTAAAAGGGGTAACCATTTGGCAAAAAATTGCTTTTCGAAGATAAAGTGTGATTCATGTGGTTGGAAACACAATAGTTTAATCTGTGACAGAAATAGTTTACATGAGAAAAAATCAAATAAGAAGGATCTCAATTTGACGAACAAATCATGTTTAGAGAAAGTTTTATTACAAACTTTAGTAGTAAAAGTGCGTGGCAATAGTCCAAAAAAATAGTGCTGCTGTTTAATTGATTCTGGGAGTCAACGAAGCTATATATCTAAATTCTTAGCTAATGCTATGCAGTACGAATGTATTAACGAAAGCAGTGTGATTCATACTCTGTTCGGAGGAACCGAAGTGGTTGAAACTCATAAACAGTTCGTTGTACGTTTAAGTAGTATTAAAAACGATTATCAGTGTAACTTCAAAGCTTTTGATCAAGCGAAAATTTGTTCTGATATTCCACAACTGAACATCAAGCCTTATTTAAATGAGTTAAAAACCCATAACATATATTTTGAATGATGTTGAATGTAGGCATAAAAAATTGCTGTTCGAGCATTCTCCTTCTGAAATTCATATCCTCATAAGACATAGCGCGGACATAGGGGAAAATTCCCGTAGAAATGGAAAATAAATATGATTGTTCTTATATATTTTCTATGTTAGTATCAGATAGTAAAATTTCTGATTTATGGAAACTTGATACTCTTGGGATATTATATCCTTCAGAAAGTCAAAGTAAAAGGAGAATTAGAAAAACAAATAATAGCACATTTCTGTCCAATGTGAAAAGAGATGAAGAAGGAAGGTTTCAAGTTTTTTTACCTTGGATTGAAAATCATTCTCTACTTCCAAACTATCGAGAAATAGCAAAAAAGAGATTAAAAAGCACAGTGAAGAATTTAAGGGATGGAGGATTTTTAGAAGATTTTGACGCAATTTTTAAATCTTGGGAAGATGATAAAATAATAGAGATTGTTCCTGAGGAAGAAGTTAATAACCTCTCTCATTATTTACCCATCACGCTGTTATTCGAATGAATTCCACCAAGACAAAAATAAGACCGGTTTTCGATGGATCCATAAGAACTAAAGGATCACCTTCCATAAATGACTGTTTGGAAAAGGGTCCAAATTTGATTGACACTGTTCCAGCTATAATAAATAGATTTCGACTGGGAAAAATTGGTGTGAGCGCTGATATTAAGAAGGCTTTTCTGCAGATAGCACTTAGTCCTAAAGACAGAGATTATTTAAGATTTTATGGTGGGAACAGGGAAATTCTGAGCGTTTGAAAATATACAGGCATAGAAGAGTGGTCTTTGGAATAACCAGCAGTCCATTTTTCTTAAATGCAACACTAACGAAATTAATGAATGAAGTACCAGAAAATTATCGTGCGAGTGCTAATAAATTAGTAGAATCCTGGTACGTTGATAATTTAGTTACAAGTGTGAATGATGAATCAGAATTAAAGAAGTTAAAAATGATGCCACTGAAATTTTGGTAAGTGCTAAATTTGAATTACAAGAGTGGGCATATAACTATCCTCGAAATAAAAGGGATGCATTTGTTGTTGAACCCATTTTAGAACAGTCGAAGCTTGATAAATTAAATGAGAATGAGTTTTTCGATGATCCTTGTGAAGCTAAAACGGTCAACATTTTGGGACTTCTTTGGAATTTGCATGATGACACATTAAGTTGTGATATTAAGGGATTAAATGAATTGAAAAATAAACCTGTTACTAAGAAAAATTTTGTCTGAAATTCATAAAATATACCCTATTGGAATGCCCTATAAAAAAAATTCCTAAAACAAATGTTTGCCCAAAGTCTGTAGCAAAAAAAACTTCAAAAACTCGGAAATGTTACTAAAAGGGGTAAATTCGGAAATTGCTTTTCGAAGATAAAGTGTGAATGTTTGGAAAACAATGTTTAATCTGACAGAAAGTTTCATAT